TGTGTGTTTGTATGATGGTATGTGTGTGTGTGTGTGTGTGCGTGTGTGTGTGATTGTATGTGTGTTAGTATGTGTTTATTGTTATTTCACAAGTATTGGGTGAAATGTATTGGACCGGAGAATCGTAAATAATGCAAGAAAATAAATAAATGAACGTTAATGGCGTAAAAGTTATACACACAAACATGCATACAACAACAACAAAAACAACAACAACAACAACAACAAAAACAACAACAGCAACAACAACAACAGCAACAACAACAACAGAAAAATTATAGACAGCAATAATAATGGAATGGAAAGGCTGTGTGTGGTCTTGTGATATATAGCCGTGTTAAACGACCTGTGCAATTACCACAACCACCACTACTATTACTACTACAACTACCACAACAACAACTACTACTACTACTACTACTATAATCGCCTTTTTTAAATTATAATTACAATTATTATTATTATTATTAGCGAAATTGGTTTAAGCAACGCGATGAAGGAGAGATTAATAGAATTTCTGAAGAACATAATAGGTGGCACGCGAGTTTCAATGTCCTTGATTGCGAATTTCATCATTGTCTGCCTACGTCATCGTCATCGTGACGTCATCGTCATCATCATCGTCGTCGTCATCACCATCAACATTGCACGCATTATCATGCCAGGCCATCTTAGTTGAACAGTCATGGAAATACATGGAGAGTCACGTGATGTCCTCTAGCTCGTCTCTGATTGGCTGATCAGAATCTGAACATACGCACCTACATACAAGCACACTGACACACACATACACACATAAAAAATACACACACACACACTTATGCAGAGGCACACGCACATACACACATCATGCAGTTTGCAATTCAAATAAATACTCCCTTCCGCATGATACATTTGTACATACCTACAATGTATGAATGTCTTTTGTATCTATCTATCTATCAATGTATGTGTGTGCGTACGTGTATATGTGTGTGCGTACGTGTATATGTGTGTGTACGTGTATGTGTGTCAGCCTTTATTAGTTGTATGTTGGGTTTATTACCTATAAAGTATCTCATTTTATGCATCCCAGAACATTAAATGATATTGTATGTATGTGTGTGTGTGTGTAATTGTATATGTCAGTGTATGTATATGTGTGTGTTTGTTTGTTTATTTGTGTGTGTGTGTAGACACGTGCATGCTTGGTTTTATGTTCCTGTTATTTACGTATGCAATCACACGCTATGCTTTGTCGTTGGTTTTGTTGGCTAAAGAGTCGACCTTCCTTTCCTTATGTTCATCGTTACAAACAAATAAACAAAATACACAGACAAACAAACAGACGAACAAACAAACAAACAAACGAACAGACAAATACACATACACACAAATAAACAATCAAACGAACAAGCATACATGAATTTGACTATAACATGGATACGTGCATGCATTCATGCATATTGATACATGCATGATGCATGCCTCAGAAACATCATCAACAACTTTCCTTGTTTGCTTGTGTGTGTGAGTGTATGTGTGCTTGTGTGTGTGTGTGTGT